AACTTTCTGAATTCTGGATTCTTTCGTAGATACATATACATAAGTTTTCTGTATGTTTACATCCGAAAGTAAAAAAATGTTTTATCAATTATAGCATTATGGCAGATAGAGAAGATAAATTGCGACTTGGACGGGTTTTACAACATGCATATATGTGAGACGCGAGCGAAGTCAGGTCACCGTTACAATTGAGGCACATCTTTCTTCATCACATGCCTAGGACATGCCCTCGACCTCGTATCCCACCCTATCATCTACTTCTTCATCCCGGAGGCATCAAGATTCAACTGAGGGTTCATCACAGGCCCCGTCTCCCGTAGGCCTCGTCGAGATACTTCTGGTTCTCCTCCTGCCGATGATTCAATGCCACCTCTAGAGGGTGATGACCCACCACCAGAGGATGCTGGTGACGACGAAGATGATGAGCCTGAGGATTTTCCAAGGGGTCCCTCCGATATGTCCCTGATGACAGGGTACGCTGACCATACTGCCAAACATGTCTGGGATGGAGAGGTAACCTACTCAGATTGCTTTTTTTTCATTGGAAATTTATAATTTGTACCATTGTTTCTTATTTATGGAAATTTTCAGACTCGTCAGACGCAGAAGTTCTATAACCATGGGCGGAAGATATTATCTTTGGAGTAGCCACAAGAGGCTTGCTTCCAGAATGTCCTTGTTGCCTCTGGTTTGAAGGACTTTTGTGAGATCGGTTACAGCGTGATCCACAATGGGATGCTGATGGGCTTTGCGGAGAGATGGCACTCTAAGACGTCGTTCTTCCATTTACCACACAACGAGCTCACAATCATGCTGGACGACATCTCCTGTCTGCTACATATACCGATCAGGGGAGCCCTCATCCGTCACGGAAGGATGACGAAGAAGGATGCGAGAAATATGTTGGTCGAGGAGCTTAAGGCTGATCAACTGGATGTGCTTGAGGAGGTGGATAAGACCAAATGGGCTCATGTGAGATTCTACTTTCTCACGCGTAGATTTGGTGAGGCGCTCGCTGCTGCACGTCAGGCAGATGGTGATCCAGTTGAGGTTGAGATACACAGGTAGCGTGTGCTGAGATGTTATTTTCTATTTTTAGTCGGTACTCAGCTGTTTGTGGACACTTCCTCCACATATACGGATTTCGCTTACCTGAGGTACTTTTTGGAATCCACACGCATCAATGAGTACAACTGAGGGCCGGCTACCCTGGCTTACACGTATTCGAGACTGGGAGAGGGATGCCTGTGGAAGACCAGGACCGTGGCAGGGAGCGTGGCACTACTTGTGGTAAGAATCTTATATCCTTCGACTCTTTTTCATTTATTTTTATTCTATATTCGTGATAATGCTTGATCCTTATATTTTTTATTTTCATTTCAGACTTGCATATTTCAGCATTTTCCCATGATCGTCGGGTTGGAGAGTTTGCCTGATTATACAGAGTTGATGTCGCGTGCCCGTGCCTTTCTCCCGCTCAGAGGGAACCAGGCGCTCGACCCTTACAGAGTATATCTCGATCGCCTGACTACTGAGGACATTCGGTACGAAGTCTATGCTGATCACTGTGTGACACGCCCGTTTGACGACATCTCCCTATTCTCAGGATGATTGACATGCAGTTCGACCATCATTGTTCCATATTTTCCCGAGCGCGTCATGCGGCAGTTCGGCTACACTCAGATCATTCCCAAGCACCCAGTTGTCTTCGTTCCTCTCGGCTTGACGCGTATGCAGATAGAGGAATCTATGCCGACTACCAGAGGCACATGGTACCTGACGAGGCTCGGGCGACCAAAGCGCCGACAGATTGGAGCTGCGTTGATGGCTATATCAAGTGGTTCTTCACTGTTTCACACGCCTACATGATGCCCACTGCTGAAGGATCACCGCCCATACCAGCTCATTAGTAGATCTTAGAGGAGCAACAGTCTCAGTTAGACCACACTCAGGATGTCCTGCCTCACTATCGTCAGATAGTGGAGATGGGGCGAGTAGTCATTGTCGCCGGTTTCTTCTTTGAGGGGTCTGACCACATGCGTGTATTGGATGACATGATTGTGGTGGCAGCGGGGGAACCTATGTACCACAGGCATCATGCCAGGATGGGTGGGATCGATGGCCGAAGGCGCAGACCAGGCGGAGGAGAGGATGCAAATGTTGTCATGCACATACAGTAGTGATTGTGATGTTTTTTTTATGTACTATATTTTGATGATGATTATGACACATGACTTCATATACCCAACCCAACCCGAAGACCCGTCCCAACCCAATAGTTTCGGTTAGTCTTTTTCCTGTCTCATGCAAAAAAATAGAAAAAAGGACAGTCCAAAAATGAACCCGGTATCAAGTTGGGACGAGTTCGGGTTGACCCTCGGGTTACCCAACCCGTCCTAATATTATGAATGCACATGTTGTACTATTTATTTATTTAATTTATTTGTATATTTAAATTATTCCAAATTTCCAATACACTTTTTCACTTCCCATCTCATAAGTTAATATATGCACTCAATAAGTACTAGGTACACATCTTCCCACTTCCCAACTTTCACACTTCTTTAGTTCTCTTACATCATATTTTAGAGAAAATAAAAGGGTGATGACATATATAGAATTACATCATGTTTTTTATTTTAAAAAATTGACTTTAGATGTCTTTATTTTTTTTCATTCATGCTAATGATTTTATTCATATTTCTCATTTAAATGAGTGTTTTTAAATACTATAATAAATTTCTTAAGTCACTAAATTTTTTTTCCATATATTTCGGGTCAATCCGATATCGTCTTACATTAACCCGGTCTAACTAACTTATATATTATCATGTTTTTTTTTGGATTTAGATACGGATTAGGGTCATTAAAATAGTTCGATCAAAATTTAGGACAGGGTTAGAGTTAGTCATAACCCTTTCCGAAATATATATATATATATATATATATATATATATATATATATATATATATATATATATATATATATATATATATATATATATATATATATATATATATATATATATATATATATATATATATATATATATATATATATATATATATATATATATATATATATATATGGGAAATGCTAACCAGTGCCCTCAGGGCACTTTTTATAACTTTAAATAGTAAGTTTTTATAAAAGTATGTGCAATAATGTGTAATAATGTGGATTGGAAATTGAAATGTTTGAATTTTTTAAAGAATAATTTCTTAATATGGAATGTTTAAATAGTGACCTGAGGGCACTTGTTAACAAGACCCTATATTTGAATATAATTTCGAAGATACCTCTCCAAAACCTTTTTCGTAGATGCATTTTCGAAAACATACAACATAAAAAAAAAAAAGATACGTTCAAATATGTATCTTCTGAACAGGGGTATAAATTTTTTTTCACTAAATACTTAAGAGTATCAATAGATGAATTAAAAAATTCTTAGACATGTACGTAAAACATAATATGTGGGTTGCATCCCACATAAGAGGCAACTTCTTTGTTGGATTTAGGACAACCACTAGTGAAGGCTATCACTCCTTGTTAGGGGTGTGCATAATATCGATTGTGAGCTCTAAATCTATAATTAAATTCAAATTTATTTAAAATATTTGAATATAATTAAATGGTTATTAACTAGTTTAATTATTAATTGTCTGTTATCTAATTATATTTTATTTTTTATCCGATTATAATCGGGTTATTATTTAAAATCCAAATGTTTCAATTCAATTATAATTATTTTTTATTTTTAAAAAAACTAAAATATTTTAGAAAAAAATTAAATTTAAAATTTTTTTTTATTAAAACTAATTTTTTTAGAATTTTATTTTATAAATTTTAAATTTTTAAGAAAAAACTTAACTTTTTAAAAAATATATTAAAAAAAAACTTATATTTTTTGAAAAAGTAAAATATTTTAAAAAAAATTAAATTAGTTTAAATATAACATAATTTTAATTCAAAAAATAATATATATTTTTTTCAACTTTATAAAAAATTTGTTTAAAAATGATTTTTATAAAAAAATAATTTAAAACCAGATTTTTAAAAGAAAATCGGTTATATAACCATAACCAAATTTATAACCGATTTTAAAATCAATTTTGATTGAAATGTAATTATATTTATGAATTCAAACTGTTTTAAAAATAGTTATAATTTAATTTCTAAAAATATCAAACCATGCGCACGCGTACTCTTTGTGGAAATGTAAGTTAATTATGAGAATAATTTACCTCTTGACAACATTTCTTTTGTGCCATGAATTATAAGGTACAAAAAAGTAGAGGCAAAATTTTCATCAGCACACGCTGAGCTTGTTTTCCAGACACAATTATAAGAATATGGAGAAATCCATTGCAGATATTTACACAAGGGAGATTATCTCTTTTTATGACCTATGCTTCAAAAGGCGTGCACTTGCGGCGTCACACGCTATGCACAAACAATGTTTGATCACCATATATGACATTTCAAAGTATTCTCTCATTCACACATTCAAACTTCTTTCTCACTCATTCATTCTTGCATGTTGAAATGCTAATCTTAAAGGTTCTAGAAACTGACTCCATCCCATCAAAACACTTTTTTCATTCAATCTCCATCTATTTCTGAGAACACATTCTGTTTTACAAAGATCTTACAAAGGCTACAATGTTTTTGAACATCAGCCTCATTCAATGTTCGATCACAACACCATCAGCAGCTTTCACTGCCAACTAGAACTCAATTCATACCTTATAAATTTTAGAAAAAAAATTGAAGAGAAAGAAAGAGGAGAAGGTAATAGTTGAAAATTTAAAAAATTTAAAGATGCATTTGTCAAATTGGGATGTAACTGAAATTTAATGGGGCGTAACGTCAGAACTGAGTCTCTTCAAACAATCAATCTACAAAACTGTTTTCATGATATTCTAAAGCAAACCAAACTAAATATACAAATTATAACTGAACTTATCTTCATGAGGGACATAAGCTCATCAGGGGACAGCTATTCCACATAAATGATACCTTCGTCATCCCAATCATCGTCATCGTCGTCGTCCTCATTTGCTGATGAACTCGACTGCTCAGCATCATCTTCCTTCTCTGATGGATTTTGAGTTTTTTCACTCTCCTCCTTCTTAATTTGATCTAATATATCAATGACCTGAAAATTTGAAGTGGTGGAGACACCAGATCAAAAAAGGTCACAGCAAACCAATAAAAACAAGTGCTAAATTCTTACCCTGCTTCCTCTCTCCATAGAATCGTCCTCTATAAAGCGTATCTCGGGAGTTAACCGCAACTTCATCCGCTTCCCCAACTGACTTCGAACATATTTAGCCTTTGATTTCAACCCCGCCATGGCTACTTGCTTCCCTCTTTCATCCCCGAAAACCGATATATACACCTTAACTAACTAATTGTTCATATATAGTAAATAATTGTTCATGAATTTAGCGAAAATGAGTAAATAATAAAATGAGACAGACTGAAACCTGCAAATCGGAGGTGATTTCCACGTCGGTGACGGTGGTGACAGACGAGAGATAAGAATCGGCACCTAAGGCAGCTTCTGGAAGAATAGCATACAGCAAGACATTATCGGTGATAAGCATCTGAGAAATTTCTCTCCTAATTTGTTTAGCAACCATTTTAACTCTCTTTGGATTCGCCATACACTTTATTATTCTTGAACCGCCAACGGATTTCTTCGTGTTTGTGCTGCTTGTGCTTGTCAGGACCCACCCGCGTCTCAGCCCCTGTGCTTTGTTATTACATCGGCAACAAGGTCGGAGCGACGGTAGCAGCGCCGTGTGAAACAGTTGCGTCGCGCTCATTGCTTGAAATGAAATTGAAGCTCCCTCTAATCTACTCTATCCTGCTTTTTGTCCTCTCAATATCAGATTCAGTTGCAGTAACTGTACCGCACCAAATCAATTGGACAAAATGTCCCAAAACGAAAACAACATTCTTGGGCTTTTTCTTAGGCCCGTATTACACAGGAATCTACCTCACACTCTTAATGTCAAAAATATCCCCTTTATTATTTAGTTTTCGAAAAAAAATGTACTCTTAAAAACTAATAAAAAGCGAAAAATTCAATAGTTTCAAGTAAAAATACGATAATTTAATTATACATTAAACGAAAAACTTTTATTTTTATTGATTTTTTAAAAATTCGATTTGAGTTTTTATCGTAAAAATTTAAGAAGTCAAGTATACTAGAGTTTTTCTCTCACCCCTAAAAATCAGGTAGTTATAACAAAAATTTTCATTAGCGTTTCGAGGTTTGACTTTCGGGGAGCAACACGAGCACTCTTTTGTCCTTGAAATCCAGGTGGTGCAACAGGTGGAGCAGGACCGACAACAAACTAAAGGTTATTGCTTTTGTATGAGAAGTTGGGATGAAAGTATGGACAACAAGCCATTTTTCGAGTCCGTGATATGGACATATTCACATCATCTCCTTGAATTCCTCTCATGCTTCGAAGAGTGATTCTATATCCTTCTGTCTAAAGCAGGCGATTTGCTTAGTAAGTTGTGCAGTCTTACTCGGCAGGAAGTATCTGGCTAAAAACATTTCTTTTAAGTTCATTCTATGCCATTATGAAATTGAATTAAATGGACTGCAACCACACTTCAACTTTATCCCTAAGGGAAAATGGAAAAGTCTAAGTCGAATCGCGTCGGGGTCCACTTCGTTGCATTTTAGAGTGTTGCGGTATTTGAATAAGATCGAAAGGTGCAAATTTGGATAATTCGTTGGAGAACTAGAAAACTGGTTATGCTGCATCATGTGTAATAGTGAAGGTTTCAACTCAAGGTTGTTCGATGCTATGGCAGGACAAACAATGCTCGAATGCAATTATTCATTCGAGGGTATAACATATTCTTTGAGCGGGTGATCATCATTATTAGTCATTGCTTGTTGCTTTTAAATTAATTGACTTCTGTTGTGGAGATACCACTCAATTTCGCTAATCAATTCAACGAGATTCCTTAAACTCCGAGCTTTCGTATACAATCAGAAACAAGAAAAATCAACGCAAAATAAAAATAGAAAATTGCCTTGGTCTAAATAGTGGAACAAAGGAATATGATATCTAAATGAATTGGTCCCCGGCAACGCCGCCAAAAATTTGATAGGCCTCATGTATACGATTGTTTTAAGTAATATAAAAAGTATCGAATCCATAGAAACCAATTATCAAGTATTGTTTTATATTATTTTAGTGTGTATTTAAGGCTTAACATAAAACAAGTTCGATAGTGCAAAAATGAGAAAGAATTGAATTACTTAAATATTAAAAGAAGAATTTGAGACTATAATTCTCATCTCCCGAATTTACTCATACAAATTTCCATATTAATCATAACGAAAGTTTTGAATATTGTAGAAAATATCAATACTAGAGGTAACGCCCACTTTCATCGGCATGTCACCGGACCTTAAAACCCGTAAAAACATTTGCTTTCACGACATGAAATTTAAGTCCAAAAATATTTTATAAAGTCAAATTATTCCCGATCAATTCTAATCCGCACTCGCAAGTATCAAAACCTTTCTTTTGAATTTCTAAGTCGGATATCGTTTTCACCCTTTTGTCGCATAAGCGGTATCTTTATACTACCACTTTCGTAACAAATTTATTAAATTTTAAAAATAGAACTTATAAAATATTTACATAATTCTTGTTACAGTTATTGTTCAAACAATTCGCATGAGATCTATTGATATGACAGTCCTCATGTCTCAGATTATACGCAAAAACTTCTGAAATTATTAATGCTCTGAAAGAAGACTTTTAATCCAAGAGTGCACCAACAATTGTAAAATGCACACGATGAAATTGATAAAAATTAGAATTTTCATAAATTTCTAAAATAAAAAATTTAAAGTAATGTAGTACAAAATAAAGTTTGGACCCTTTGAAAAGTGTTATATATATAAAAGACACTTTTTAAAAGATTCAAGTTTTATTTTGCATTATATTACTCTAAATTTTTTTATTTTAGAAATTTATGAAATTTATTATTTTTATCAATTTCATCGTGTGCATTTTACGATTGTTGTTGCACTTTTGGATTAAAAGTCTTCTTTCGGAGCATTATTAATTTCAGAAGTTTTTGCATAAAGTCTAAGACATGAAGACTGTCATACCGATGAACCTCGTTTGAATTATTTGAATAATAATTATAACATGAATCATGTAAATGATTTGTAAGTTTTATTTTCAAAATTTAATAAATTTGCTTTGAAAGTGGAAGCATAAAGTTACGACTTATGCGACGAAAGGGCAAAAACGGTATTTGACTTAGAGATTTAAAAGATAAGTTCTGATACTTACGAGAGCAGGTTTAGAATTGATTGAGAGACTAATTTTACTTTATAAAATATTTTTGGAGTTAAGTTTTATGCTGTGAAAGCAGATGTTTTTTTTTACGGGTTTTAAGGTCTGGTGACGCACCGACGAAACTGTGTTACCTCTAGTTTTGGTATTTTTTTACAAAATTCAGAATTCTCGTTATGAGTAATATGGCAATTTGTATGAGTAAATTCGGAGATGAGGGTCATAGTCTCAAAATATGGGCTTGTCTGGACGTCATGACGAGCATCATAGGTCACGACAAATTGTCCTTCATGGTTTCTAATTCTGAATAATATGTTTTCTGAATTTGTGATGTCTTGTTCGTCTGGTGACCATGACGGGCGTCGTGATAGATGACGGGTCACCCATCATGCTTGCTGAAACTTGCTTTTCTCATACGTATTTTTCTTCTTTTGTCCATAGTCAATTCCAGATACTTAATGCATGCAACACAATGAAAATTTTCAACTTTTGCATTAAAATCCAGATAAAAAGATATGAAAAATATGGAAATCAAACTAAATAAAAAATGGTAGAAATACATGTGATCACTTATCCTCATGAAACTTATAAAAGAAAATATTTTAGTATACCAACTCAAATAAAGTCATGAGTTAAAAGTGGTATACCTCCTTATTCCTTTGTAATCTTCTCTTACCAATACCTTGAGCTTCACATTTTTACCGAGTTCAACTAACCTTCTACGTTCTCACTTGATGATACTGCTTCACCTGTCATCTCTCTACATATCCTCACAAAGTCTCTCAAGTGTTTATGTGTTTATTCGCTCAAAATTCACATTATGCAACATTATACCATATGCTTTAATAAATTCTAATCATATAAAAAGATGCAATGACACACACATTTTTTTAGGTCTTTAAGGTTGTTATGGGGATAAGGCTTCGGTAGGATATATTTGGATAGTAGGCTAATTCTCGGAGTTAGTTGGCATATTCTTACCACTATGTATAAACTAAGGAACTACTTTGTGGATACTTTATTTACCGAGTTCTCTTTGGCTCTGTTGAAAATTTTTAATTTTATCATTTTTCCTTTTCTAGTTGATATCTAACAGTTATAGTCACAATAACTGTATCGTCCTACTTGAAAGACACCTCTTTCAATACAAAGTTCAGCCAAGAATTCTTGACTAACAACCTACTTGGATTTGCTTTAAAGATTCATCCAAGAACAATACATGATTCATTACCTACATGTTTCTGAATCTGTATAAACATCTATGTCTACCATAATGTAACAAACTGATACAAATGGAGACTTACAACACAAGAAAGTACACAACTCTTAAAATCCTAAATCCTTATTTTCTACTTTACAAAAGTCTTAATAAGATCCCCCTCAGGCCTAGGTCTAAGTCTTCTTTTTATAACCTCCAGCATTCCATGGCCTTCGAATCTTCTGTCAACTGATTCTTTGAGCCACTGTTGTCATCGCTCCTCGAATCTTACAATAGAATTAAAACAATCAGCTAAGTCAATCTAGGATGTCGAATCTTCATGCTAGGACATTTCACTCAACATCTTTGTTCTGTGCAGAATTCTTCATGTTTGATCATCTTGTTCTTCATCAAGTTTTACCAAAATTTTAGTCAAACCTCAAGAGCTTTCAATCTCCCCCTTTTGACAAATTTTGACTAAAACTCCTTCTACACAATAAACCCAGGGTGAGTGAAGTTGAAAAAGGTCTTGAAAGAAGGAAGTTGAGACTCCTAAAGAAGCTAGAAGGAAGTCTGAAAGGGTTGATCAAAGAACCTTCCCTTCAAACACACTCCCCTCTAGAATGCTCCCCCTTACTAAGGAACCTATACCTCCTCACTTAGGTAACTCAGAACACAGGACACGACTGTGTTCACAAATCAGATCACAAGACACGAAGGAAGGACTCAAAATAGAAAGAGGACCTGAGATTCAAACAAAATGTCAGAACATTCTATCCAACATCCTTGCAAACCAACTATAAGAACAAACTCAATTCTTGTACTTTTCTCCCCCTTTTTAGCCAAAAATTGACAAAGATGTCCAACACAGACCCATACCCAGACTGAACATACCCAAAGGCGGATAAATACCATGTGAACAAGGCCCTACAGAAAAACAACTTGAGACAAATTGAAGCCAAAAACCCCTTTTAAATACCCGAGTTGTTTCCTTAAGAAGTAATGAACCATTGAAAACACCAAAGGTCAATTCAATGAGAACAATAAGTGAGAAATGTAACTTCACCAAAAAAATATGCACTGGCCAAGGCACTTTTGATTGTTTCAACTTTAGGGTAAACCGTCCAAAGAAAGCGCATGTATCCAGACACATGTTTAACACGCCTTCTCTTAGGCACACACTCCACCGTCCAAGAAACATGTCCAAAGAAAGTAACTTGAAACAGCCACAAGTCCTAAACAATATCCTGACACTTTGTCATACTTTGTCTATCCCATCTGGTAAACT